AGTGGCGTAATCTTGGCTCACTGCAACCTCCACCTCTCCGGTTCAAGTGATTCTCCTGCCTCAGCCTCCTGAGTAGCTGGGCCTACAGGCACACGCCACCACACCCGGCTAATTTTTGTAATTTTAGTAGATATGGGGTTTCACCATGTTGGCCAGGATGGTCTCAATCTCCTGACCTTGTGATCCACCCGCTTTCGCCTCCCAAAGTGCTGGGATCACAGGTGTGAGCCACCACGCCTGGCCCATCTGGCATGTTTTAGACCAACTGGAGTCAGGCCTACAGCAGGGAGGTGGCTAGACAGTGACTGTAACCTCCATTTCCTGTCCTGGCCAAACTAACAGGGAGGGGAGACATCACACTCTGGTTACACACCACTAACCCCCTTCTGACTACACATACACACACACACACACACACACAGACACACAGAGACACACACACAGCCATCCAGATTCAAAAATACATTCACATGTATTCACATACATTCACCCAGTGTCTGGGTGGAGGCTCTTAAGCAGGAATGGCCCCTCAGAGGAGAAGGTGGGAGGAGAATGCTGGGATTTCAGAATCCCCTCACCTCACCTCACCCTCCCACCTCCAGATCCTAGTCCAGATGTACTCCTGTCCTCACCACTTTGCATGCACGCACACGCACATGCACACATACATGCATACACACAGTCCCAACATTCACATGTAGACACCCACTCTTGACACCCACACATGAATTACAAGACAAATGTTGGTCCATAAAGGAACACATATGCAATCCACACACCGCCAATCCTGCTCAGTGATGCTTTCCCCAGCACTACTGCACACGTCCCAGAAAACACAGACACACAAGTGCTCCTTGTACACTGAGTTCTAGGCCACCTGGTCGAGCACCCACCCCCCACCCCAGCTACACACTCTTTCATATCCATCCCATAAAGGAAGAGTCCACCTCTTTAACCATGCTTCCTATGGTTTCTTCAGAGTATCCCTGCCCCAAATGCTGCCAACCTCCCCCTAGACTCAAGATCTCCTCTTACCAGATCCCTGGAGGCTCAATGCCAGTGCATGGAAGGAGATCGATTTCCCTCATATTCCCTGACTCTCAGAGGCTCTTTTCTAGCACAGGGGTCTGGCCAGGAGACTGAAGCCATGACGTCTATGCAAGGATGGGAAGGATGTCTGTGGGTTGGAGGGTAATTATAAGAAAGCAGCTTTCTCCACTTTTTGAGAAAGCACTTGGGAACAAGCATCCTCAGGAACCAATTCCCCACCATCCTCTTCGGATCCCATACGCCTGGTGGTCCAACCCTCAGGCCTGGTTCATGCCTCCCACTGGGATCAGCAGACAAGGCCGTGACCCTGCAGTGACCTCGACCCCATCATCAGGTCAGGTCCGGGCTTCATGGCTAGAAGCGAGGCCCAGGCAAGTGGCTGAGACGCGGCAGAAGGACAGGTGGATGCGCCTGGCTGCTGTCAGCTGCCGGGACACGGCCTGCGGTGCGGAAAGCGCAGCCCGTGGTAATCCTACTCTGTGCTCTGGGCTGCAGTGCCCGGTTCTCCCCCTTCCCATCCCGGCGGCCCAAAGGCAGGGCCTAGACCCTGGAGAGACCGAAGCCAGGCCGAAACAACAGCGAAGCTGGGACTGGAACAGGCGCCGGGGACCCGCGCAAGACCCTAGACTCGTAATTCGACACTCCGGTGACGCCGGGGTATGAGCTGAGACGGAGCTGGAGACAGAGGTTGGGGTTCAGGAAGAGGCGCTTGGGTATGGAATCAGATCTGAGACGGTTTCGGCGCTGGTGCTTGGGGCCGGACCAGACTCGAACCCAGAGCGGAGCCAGGGTCAGAGCCAGGGCAAAAGTCCGGAGCCCAGCTCAGCGTCCAGCCCGCGAGAGACCCCAGCATGACTGGCGTCCGAGTAGGGTTGGAACCCGAAGCCCGAGTGCACTGGAATGCACTGGAAATGCAGCCAGATGGCGACTGGGATCCGAGTAGGTCCGGGCCAGACTAGGGACGTCAGAGCTCCACCAAGGCGCTCGAGGTCGGACTGGAGACTGAGACTCAGGCAGGACCCGAGGCAGAGCCAGAGACGATACCAAAACCCAGATTGGGGCGCGAACCTGTGCAGGCACCGGCGAGCTGCCTGAAGCTCTGGGTTCTCGCCGCTGAGCGCCCGCAGGCTGGGCCCGCGCTGCGGGTCGGAAGTGTACTCGGGATGCCAAGGCTCTGAAGCCGGAGACCACACGCCCCAAACGTGGCCTCTGAAAGCGCCCAGGGCCTGCCGCGGGTACACTGCTGGCCCGGCGGCCGCAGCCTACCTGAAGTAGTCCATCTTGCAGAAGATCTCCTTGTTCTTGATGTAACAGCTGTTTTGCTGCCTCAGCGACGTGCGACACACGGAGCACTCGAGGCACCGCACGTGCCAGATGAGGTTGTTGACCTGGGGAGGGGGCGGGGACGAGGGTCGGCTCAGCGCGGGCCTCTTTCACGCGGGGCCCTGGCCTCCCTGGTCCCATTTGCAGTCAGAGACGCTGAAGCTCAGAAGGTGCATGCGATTCCCCTACTTTTTCTTCCATAATACTGAGCATCAGGGAAATGGAAATAAACTCTTGCTATTTTTTCAGACGGAACCCGGGGACGCAAGCAGACCCTAAGACTTGCGCAAAGCCTCCCAGTCGGGCAACGGTGGAGCCAGGATTTGGAAGTAAGTTGACCTGGCGCCGGCGGTGCTTCCCCGCAGTCTCCTGCGCTGAGTCCCACGCCCTGACAACACGCACGCAACATCTACCCCTGTCTCACCTTGAGCAGATACCGGTCCAGGATCTCGAGGCCGCAGCTAGAGCAGATGTTCTTGCCGGCAGACGGCACGGAGGAGGCGGCAGAAGGCGGCGAGCAGACAGAAGGCGTGCTGGGCGTACATGGCGAGGCCCGACCCTCGTCCTTGTCCAGGACTCCTGCCAGGGCCTCGGCGTCAGACTGAGCCTGCGGCGTGGGAGAGAAGGAGAGAGGAACACTGAGCCAGGCACCCAGAGTTGCAGCTGCCTCGGAGACAAATCTGGAACCCCGGGGCACCAACTGACAACGAAATCTCCCCGGGACGCTGAGCCGTAGGCAGGAGGACAGGAATGGAAGGGCCTATCGGAGAGGAAGGGATGGCCCCAACTTTTAACACGCGCATTGTGGGTGCTGGAAGCGGTTAAAGCCAACATTCCCTGCCGGAAAACCAAGGCTCAGAGAGGGGCGGCGCCCGCCGGGAGTCCCCCAGAGTGTGGGCAGCGGTTTGTAGCCGGAAAGCCTGGCCAGGTCCCCAGGGCCGGGCCGCTGGAGGACTGGGCACCTCAGGCAGGGCCAAACGGACTCACCATGGCGGGCGGCGCGGTCCCTTCAAGACAGCGGGTGGTCGCTTTGCAGCCGGACCCTGGCTGGGCCATCACCTGGGGGAGGGGGAGGGAACGCAGGCGGCGGCGGCTGCTGAACTGGCTTCGCGCAGCCTGAGCCCAGCGCCTCCCCGCGCCTGTTATATAAACCGGCGCCGAACAATGAGTCCTAACTTTGTAGTGGGCATTTAAAGCCCTTCCCCACAAAAGCGGTGTCTCTCTAATGAAGCAATTTGAATTTGGATTGGATTTTTTCCCTCTCTCTCCCCCTCTCCCTGCACTTAACCCGTGGCTCTTGAAGTAATCGCTTAGTTCCCTTGCAATCCAAGCCTCTGAGGGGGAAAAAAAACACGCGCACACACACACAAACTACCTGCAATTAGAAATTGTCGTGAATGCCCAAGATAAGAGGTAGCCAGAGTGTCAATTCCAACTGTCAATCAGTGAGATCCATCAGGCCGCCCAAAGAATTGCAAATTTGATTTTTTAATGGTAGTAATTAAAAATCGAATTTTTTCTCTCTTCACCCGCCCCCCCCTTCCTCGCTCCCTTCTCTTCTCGGCACAAAATGCAAAAAGGAGAAAAGAGAGAAAGAAAGAAAATAAAAAAGAGATGGGTGAGGGGCGGGGGGTGATTGAAGAAAATAAAACCCCGAGCGCGGTGAGCACCCGCCTGCCCGCCCGCCCGACACGCGCCGCGAAATTGAAGCAGCGATATTGACACGGATTCAGGCGCCTTTCGAGGGCCAGTCGGAGGGAAACCTGGAGCAAAAAGGGAGCGAGGTCGGGGGCGAAACGGTACCAAAAAGAGAAAAGAGAGGCGCCCAAAAGGAGGAAAAAGCACCCTCCAGCCCCTTGGCGCGCCCAGGACCGGCCCCGCGTCGGGATTCTCAGCGCTGCGCCCGCACAACCCCCGGCGCATCGGCGCTATCAGCGCCTATTCAGACGGACAATACCGGCCTCGCCTCCTCTTGATTCGCCTGTGTCTTTACTAAATCGCTTTTTGAGAAATTCCTCCAACATTTGCATAATGTGTTCCCGCTTTCCGCGACCCCCCCTTCGCTCGCGCGCGCTCGCACACTCACAAACACACACTCACAGGCGCATTCTCGTACCCCTCCTCCCTGCAGCCGCCCGCCACCCGGCTCGGCCCGGATGGGTCCGGGACCCTGCCCAACCCCGGCCCGGGCTGCTCACCCAGTCGTTCGCCGGCTCACCTGGTCGGTGGCGGGGCCGCCCTCGGCCGGCAGCCGGCAGCCCTCGGGCAGCGCCGGGGCGGCGTTCTCATGCTTCCAGTACATGGGCCGGGGAACTGCGGGATCAGCGGGCGCGTAGAGCGGAGAGCCGCTCCGAGGGGGGCCACGGCCGCAGTGGGAGCAGAGACTGCTGCAGGAGCAAGAGGAGAGCGGAGGCGCCGGCCCCGCCGCCCCGGGCCCGGCCCCAGCCCCCGCCCCCGGCCCGAGCGCAGCCCCGGCCTCCCTGGCTGCCGCCGCCGCTGCCTCGGGAGAAGGTCCCGACAAACTTGGAGAGGCCCCCGCCCCCTCCTTCTTCTCCTCCTCCCTCTCCTGGTAGTCCTCCTCCTTCTCTCCCTCCTCCTCCTCCTCCTCCCCCTCCAGCTGCAACGGCGGCCGCCCTGCCGCTGGAGCCCCACTCGGTTCAAGATGAGTCATGCGTGACCAATCCCCTCCCCGCCAAGGGAGAGCAAGACACACACGAAGAGGCAGAGACCCAGGGAGCGACACACACACACACACACACACACACACACACACAGAAACTCAGAGCTGCCAACAGAGAGACTGGAGACACGCAGGCACACAAAGGCACCGCGGGCACACATCCACCCAGCTCTCACTACCGCCCCTCCCTCAAGGGGCACCCATCTTCCTCAGACACTGCCCCACTCACAGGTACAGAAGGGACCCACGGCCATACCATCTGCGGAGATAGATTCAGTAGGAGGTCACAGGTTATTATACTGTGTTGATGCAATCCCATGCCTGGTACATTTGTCGAAACACTAATGCAAGTGATTACCTGTTCACATCATTTACACAGGCATGAGGCCCCACACTTACTCTCACACACCTGCACAGATACCTCTGCTCCATAAGAACCACACAGTGCACCAGGTCCCAGGGACTGAGTGGGATCGGGTAGGGTGAGATGAGAGGGTAGTTCCACTGAATTCTCTTGGGAGGGATTGCTTGGCACAACCCCCTTCCTTTCAGGATTTGCTTAACCACACAGTCTAATGCCCATCTCATCTTCTCTAGGGTTCTATTGACAATGAGAATGGTAGGGAAGGCAGGAAGGCCCCAGCGTTTAGACAGGAGACGCTGCCTCCAGACACACAGACACAGAACCTTCAAACCCAAAGACAGAGCCTTAAACACACTAACACCCTGCAGCATACACAAGTGAACACTTAGAGCCTCAGCCCCATTCTCCACACACAAACTGAGCATAAAGAGACACATGTAAACTTACATCATCTTCTAAAAACAAATAAGCACACCCAGACATAGATCCAGCCTTACAGACACCATGAGAGCCTACCCTCACCCCATCACACATGTCATCACCTCCATAGTTGCCCTAATTTACAGACGTAACGCCCCCACACACTACTGCTCTTGTATTTGTACACACATCCATACTCAAGAGGGCACAGACTTTCACTGAGCTCCAAACCCATGTATAACCTTATGTCCTCTACTCAGACACCCTCAAATGTGTACTTACATGCCTACAGATGGTGAGACAACCACTGATAGGCATTTATAGGCAGACACAACACACACACTTCTACAGAAATAGATTCCCAATACTTACAAGTCTCAGTTTGCACACACAGGCAGGTTCTGACAGATGCAAGCAGTAGAGGATGGCTGCGCACCAACACGATACTAAAAACCCACGTCCATATCCCCCAAAGATACAAATAACTGTTCCTTTACTGGCACCAAGTTGCACAAAAACAGCCCCAGCCTTGGCTAATGGCATTTGCCAACCTTTGCATCCCAGTCATTCACTGATCTCAAACACAGAAATTCAGAGGGAAAATAGTTTCTCTTTGAACTCTAATCTTTTATACGAAGAGAACAAGTTGCAATGTGAAAGTGGGTGAGGTGTATGCATATATACACATGTGTGTGCAAATACACATGCATTCTCAAACATGAACACAGAAGAACAACCCCTTGCCCTCAAATATCTCCTTTGCACATAATAATTTCAGCTACTGACGGGATTTTTCCCAGCTACTACAGCTACTAATCTGTGCCAGGCATGATATTAGGCATTTTACAATCATGATCTTATTTTCCTTTCATAATAATCCCGTGAGGTAGCATCTCTCAGGGTGCTTGTTTTACTGACAAAGAGACTGAGGCTCAGAGAGTTCATGTGATGGATCCAAAATGGTGCACATGGCTAATTGCCAGAACCAAGGGCTTAAAACCAGATTCATCTGACATTAGAGCTCATACTCTTGATTTCTAGGCTGCAGACATGACCATGTTTATTTTCTACACACATACACTCCACATTATCGGTTAAAAGACCTGGATGTGACTCTCAGACTTATGGGCTCAGCTTGTTTCTCTCATCTGCAAAATGGGAATAGCAATAGGACCTTCTTTATCTCCTTCTTTTCCTCTCCTCTGGGTGGTGGGGGAATTGAGAGGTTAATAAACATTACAGAACGCTGCATATATGCTAGATTTGTGAGAGCAGAAGGACTCCAGGAAAGAAGTCCATGAAGACTGCACTGGCTTTGCAAAACTTGTTAGACTCCAGGAAAGAAAAAGATCATGAAGACTGCACTAGCTTTGCAAAACTTCTTAGACATGAGCAGTGGAGGGGGCTTGAGCTAAAATTAAAGGCAGGTGAAATTTGGATGGGTTCAGGGAGGAGAAGAAAGTGTTTCAGGTAGAGAGAGGACCATAAAGTTTCGGAGGCTGGACAAACAAGTTGTTGCATTCTAATGAAGAGGAATGTGAAGCATGTGCTCCTAGATTGATAATAATATAACTACCATTTATTGAGCATTTATGTGCTAAGCCCTTTGTTTTACATGCATTATCCTCTTTAATCCTTGCAACAACCCTACAAAGAGGTTGTCCTATTATCTTTCTTTTGTGGTTGAGGAAACAAGCTTACAAGAGCCCCATTTGAAGCTCTGGCACTCAGAATTTAGAGCCCAAACCCTTACCTACTATGCAATTATGTTCCTGAATTCTGATTAAATGCTCCAATAATATAAACTGAAGTAAGAGGCAGTAAAGTCAGTAGCGAGGCAAAAAGACTCGGGCCAGATGGCCTTGATGCCAACCTTGACACTTCCGTTTATTACTTGGGTAATCCTGGACAAGTTCTTCAGTCACTCGTCAGCCTCAGTTTCCTCGTCTGTGAAGTGGGGATAACAGAGTTCAACTCCTATGGTTGTGAAAATTACACATATAATCCATGGAGCAGGGCTCAGAAATATGTCAGGGACAGAGTAAGCAATCAATAAACATTAGCCATCATTGGCTGGGAGCGGTGGCTCATGCCTGTAATCTCAGCACTTTGGGAGGCTGAGGCAGGTGGATCACGAGGTCAGGAGTTCAAGACCAGCCTGGCCAACATGGTAAAAGCCATCTCTACTGAAAATACAAAAATTAGCTGGATTACAGGTGTGAACCACCACATCTGGCCAAAAGCTAATATTTAAAAAGTGTTGTACTTTATTCATTTATACATCCCTGACGCTGTATTAAGCACCCTACATGAATAGTGGCATCTTCTTACTTTGCAATTCTTCTCTTGGTCACTAAACAGGATGTGGTCATCTGGTCCTCTGAGGTGAATTTTGCCATCTTCCCCCATTTGAGTCTAGGTCCAAGGGTTCAGTTTGAAAGAGGCTTCATTAGTAACTGGATAATTCTGTGGGAGGCCCCCAGCAATGGTTCGACCCTGCCAGGGGGTAATTCTAGGAAGGTAATGTGAGCTGGGGGAGGCTGGAGACCCAGCTTCACATTTATTTACTTTGACAGCTAAATTGGTGAGCAAGGGGGAAATCAGATGAAAGTCATTTCAGAGTAAATACTAAATATGAAATTTAAACATTCAGGTTGCGACAAATGGGAAAGGGACAATGGGAAGAGACACGGGCACCACCCCCCTTCCAAGCCTAGGACCCTACACTCGGCCGATCCCCTTCCTAGGTATTTCCTGTTTTAGGAAAGAGCACAGAATGGGGTACCAATTGTCTGACCCTAGGCCAGGAATTTACTTCTCTGGCCTCAGTGTCCTTATTTGCAAAACGCGCGTGTGAATCAGCGATGTGGAAGTGACAGAGAGGGTCTGGGAGTAAGACCACAAATCCCAGCCCAGCCACTTCCTGGCTGGCTGAACTTGGAAAAGTCACTTACCTGAACTTAATTTTTCTCAATATCAATATCTGGGACAATATCAATCTCAGAGGAGTAAATAAGATAATCAGTATGAAAGGACTTTGAGAGGCACAGAGGCTCTGGGGCCAGATGGCCTTGAGGCCAACCTCGGCACTTCCCTTTATTACTTGGGTAACCCTGGACAAGTTCTTCAATCATTCATCGCCCTCAGTTTCCTCATCTGTAAAGTGGGGATAACAGAATTCACCTACCGAGGTTGTGAAAATTACGTAAATGATCCATGTAACAGGACTCAGAAATATTCCTGGCACACAGTAATCAATCAGTAAACATTAGCCATCATTATAGCATGGACTGGTTGAATTTTCTGATTATTTTTCTACTAGGCACTACATCAAATTCTTTGTGAAGGCAGGGGACAAATCAAAGCTTCAAAGTATATTGCAAAGTAATATTGCATACCTCAAATCATATTGCAAATGTGAACAATTACAGTTACCAAAAGTCCCCTTCCAGGAAGTTTTGATGTTCACTAAGTAAGTTCAGGTCAGCAGACATTTGTGAAGGATTTACTCCATACCATGTTCCATTCCATACTAGGCCCAGGAAATAGAGGAAGCTGTCCATGTGTCCTCGCCTCTGCCCTTGAGGAGCCCACAGTCTATTAAGAGAGAAGAAAGCCAGCCACGCAGTGCGGTGTGACAGGTGCTAGTTACGAAGGGTGCAACAGAAGTAAGGAGGAGGGGCACGTAACCTGGCTTACAGGTGGTGGATCAGGAAGGCATCCTAGAGGAGGTGACGTTTCATATATGTCCTGAAGGTTGAGTAAGTGTGGGACAGGCAAGCGCTGAAGGGAATTGGACCAGGATGAAGAGTGGCTGCCCAGTTAGTGTTTGCTGGGGCCACAAAGGGAGATGAGGCTGGCGAGGTAGATAGGAGCCAGATTGTGGGGGGCTGCATGTTCAAGAGTTTAGATTCATCTTAGAAGTTGGAGTCTACAAGCCTCCAGTGCCACAGGAAGCAGCATCCTGGAGGGGTTGTACAGCACAGTGGTTAAGAATTCTGGGTTTGGAGCCAGGTAGCCTACGTTGATAACCTGACCCTGTTATACAC